AGTATCTCTTCGCATTTTGAATTTGAGAGATGTTGAAGAAGTTCTTTTGTAGGAAAAATATTTGCGAACATAGGAAAGCACTTTAATAAGGGTGGTAGGTTGATGAGTGAATTAGTAAATATAATAAGTTTTGCTCAAACAAAAATTGCAGAGTTGTTAAAGTAGCGCGCTACTGTAGCACGCTTATTTTTTGGTAGCGATAGCTAATAGTATGCTACTTTCTTTCTAATTATTAATTTTTTTAGCGCGCTCCTATTTTTGAAGGTAGCTAAGAGCCCGCTACTTAGCTCATTTTTAAAAATATAATGAATATTACTATAAACATGAAAATTTAAATATAACGATTTATTTTTTAATATTGAAATTTATATTTTCAATTTGTATTATAAACCTAAAATCATCTGGTGATTATTTAAAATGTCATCGCAAATTTATATCTAAATCGATATAAATGATGATATTAATAAAATTGAAAGTACCCTGGAAGAAAATGTTCTTGATAAAAATTATACACATTTTCCATTTCAAAAATTTGAAAAATGGTGGCTACAAATTTATTAGTTTAAAATGTAAAAAAATATATATCCTCATATAAATCTAGTAGCTATATCTTCCAAAAACATCTAAAGGTAATTGTCATTTATAAATTCTAATAGTATTTATTTTACAAGAATGTTCATGCCAACAGTTTTAAAGAGATTGAAAAACATAATAATTTTAGTATAGAGACTATATCCAAGAAGACCAATTCAATTCAATTCAAGCTAAATTGATTAATAATATTGCACATGCTAATATTTCTCAGATACTGGATGATAAAGTCATTGTGGATTTTATATTGATAAAGCTCAGCCAATGTCCTTGGTTGATAATCCATCATTTATCATGATGATTTGAGCTTTATCCCCGGTATAACAATTTTATGTCACCAGACACTAATGATTAAGATAGCAGATAACTTTGAAGTGGTGAAAGATGCTCTTATAGCAAAGTTGTCAGAGATATCCTATATATGTACCACGGCCAGGCGCACACGAGGAATTTTCTATAGAGGGGAGAGGGAGGGGGGGGCATAAATTTATTAGGGCAAATAATTATTTCAATACACAATTTTAAATTAATGTGAATTATAAAACTATAAAATAAATGTGAATTGAAAATATTAAACTATAATAAATGGCACCATATAGAAATTTAAATTTTTGAGCCTTTAAAATTTATATATAAAGTATAAAAAATTTAAATGTTGGAAATTATACACAAATTTCTTAGGAAAAATTGTATTTTGTATGTAATAACTTATAAAGTATTCATGAAAAAATATATAACACATTATTTAAATAAAATAGCATAAAAAATATTATTAAGAAGCATATTATATAATGCAAAATCCAATCTTCATTGGGATTAAGCTAATTTTTCAATTATCTCACTTGTACTTGGCGTAAAGTGCATATGAATATATACAAAAGGGCCAAACCATTCAATCTTCTTTCAGAAGTTGTATTTAATAGGTATGTTTTTATTCTTCTTATTGAAGAGAATGTTCTCTCATTAGTTGAGTAATGGGAAGAGTGATAATATATATAATAATTTTAATACATTGGGAAAATAATCTAAAAGATATTTGAAATGGTACAAAGCTTCCATAGCATTTTTTGGGACTATATCAGCCATAGTTAATCTTTTATACTATAGTTGGAATTCAGCTAATAAGGAGGCATCATAAGATATTTTAACATCTTCATGATAAAAATCTGCTAAATATTTTATTTATTTTTTTCTATCACCATCTGAAAAATGTTGGGAAGGCTTTTGTGGAAGTAATATCTGCAGATTGGTAAAGTGCTGCCTGAATAAATGTATCTAGAGAGGGATAAAGACATTTATTTTATAATACTCTTCTACTAACCATATATAAATGTTTGAACGATGAGCTTGCCTTGCTGCAAGTCGAGGGAGACAAATGTTAAACTCGTATAGCTTTGCTTTTGACTCAAATATAAACTATTAAATATGAAATTCATCATCTACATTAGCCCTAATTTCCTTGAGTTCTAACAAAATGCTCTCTGCTATTCTCATCGTCTCAATCAAAGTATTACATAAAATAGTTGTACAATTAAATAATTTATGAATACATTCTAATGAGAAAAAAAATTGGTTTAAGTATTGAATCCAATAATTTGCTTGCTCCTTAGGAAATATCTCTTGCAGGCCATTTTGATATTTCAGTAAGAGCATTAATAATCGACTCTTTTATCTCCATAAAAGCTGTTACTGCTTGATGGCGAAGACTCTATCTCGTTGGACAAGCTTTTTGCAATTTCTTTCTCCTTGTTGGACAAGGCAAAAATAATTATGTTTAAAATATTTTGTCGCTTGGGGTATTCCATTAATGCAGATTAAATGTTGCAAGACCACGAAAATTACATGCATTATCATTATTATTGAAATTCAAGCTTCCTGAACCCAAATAGCCACGTCTAAGCCTTGTAATCCACAATATGGAATGGCCTCAATATAGATTGATCTTACATCTATTTTCTTGTGTTATTTTAATCTTATTTTTGTCGATATGTGATGAAATGGGAATCATATCTCCACCTTGAATTAATTTAAATCATCAGTTCACAGCTTATGTGATAATTTGTTTTTGGATGATTGTCAAAGATTTCTCCAGCATCTTTGTACTTGTTGAATGGAGTCCTAACAAGACTGTTAAGCTTAACTAAATTTCTTCTAGCATATCTTGAACCAAACATGACACATATCTTGCAATACGCTCCATTGTCTCGGATAGAGTAAGCTAGCCATAACCATTTAGTAAAATAGATGTTTTGAAATTTTAACTTTAGATTAGCACAAAGTTTGTGGATATAAAAATTGAGGGGTGGAGTATCTATAATTAAATAAAACATTTATCATAGGTATCTTTAATACCTTCTTAAGAAATATATGTCTTTCTTTGTACTTTTTTGCTTTTTTGTAGGATGACTAGAATTTTCATCATCATCAATATGTTAAAAATTTCTTATGTACATAATTATTATTTGACTATAAATTTGAAAATGATAGATAAATATTGAGCCACTACAAATTTGAAAATAATAGATAAATATTACGCCAAGAAAAACTTGAAATCGAAATTAATTGATAAAATAACTTAGAAAATGAATGTGATAAAATTAATGTAATTAAATATATTTTTAAAAAGAAAGAGAAAGGAATAAATATTATAAAATATAAATTAATATAAACAATAATATTTTTGAAAAATATATCCGGCATCTGAATCTTTGCTTGGGGGTGGGGGGGGGGGGGGGGGGGGGGGATTTGTCCTGCCCTCCAACGCTGCGTACGCGCCTGACCACGGCAGATATTTTGAAACATAACAGAAGGTAAAAGCTTAATTATATTTATAAATTGATCTGATATTAATATTTTTAGCGCTTATTTGGGAATCACAGGCCATTGGCTAGTCCCTAAGGCTTCATAAAGAATATCTGTAGCATTCGCCATCAAAAGGATAATAAGATGCCAGACATATGATGTACTTGCAAATAAAATTTATGATTCATCCCACTTTTAAACTAAACTGGCCATGTATCAATTCCGATGATGTTAAGGATCAACGTGATAGGCTCATGGTAAAGCTTAATAGTATCACACCCAACCAAAAAAATGACTTTGACTGATATTTTTTTTTGAAATAAAGGATACTTATATAATAATAGAAAATCCTCTAGATGCTTTTTTTAAATTTAAAAATACTCAAATGAGTATTTTTGATAATTTTTCTTGTATTAAAAATATGTATATAAAATTTAATAAAGGGATAGATAGAGCTCATCTATAATGGGTATTTATAAATTTTGAAAGGGGTCTACTCTTCTCAAAATTTATAGACTTTAAAATAAGAAAAGAGTATCTAACTGTTAAAAATACAGACGGCAAAATTAGACCCCATATAAGAAAACAATTATTAAAATAGAAACTACTAGTTTCTATTAGTGAATGTTCTTTGGAAAAAGCCACATAGAACATGGAAAATCTATAATAGATTAAGAAGAGAGAAAAGAAGATTTGAGAGACTATTTAGTTAGGCGAAACTTATACTTTCTGATCGTCGCTCTAGACTTGGGAATGATAGTATAGAAATGATCGTCGCTCTAGACTATTATTAAAATGCACAAAATAAATAAAAAATGAATATTAACATAAATAGTTATTTTTATTACATAAATTATAGTCTTTTTACATAAATTTTTTATAATCAATAACTATATTTAAATATTTATAATAGTTGAATTTAATGTATTATATACAATTACGTTATAAGCAAAAATAAAACAAATTTATTTCTAAATTTTTTTTACAAAAAGCAAAGCTACTTTTAAAAAATAAGAGCTAAAGCTACGTTTTTTTTATGGGTAATGATAGCGGTAGCGCGTCACATTTTTTGACAAATATCGATCGCGGTAGGGCGCTACTTTTTATCAACTCTGAAAAATTGTTAAGTTTGGAAAATTCTTTACTATGATTAATTCACGAGTCAAGAAATTTTCTTCACCATTTAATTGCACCAATTTATATCTAGTGAAATACAAATTACCAGGCCATATATTATTGAAGATTGAATAATTCTAAGCTTGTCAATGTGTTAAAAATGAGTTAAGACTTATAACAATTTGATTTTAAACAATTTATTATATTAAACTTTCTATAATTTAAAAAGAAATTATTCAATAGTAGTTTTTTAGATCATAGAATTCATATCGTCGACTAGATAAAATTATATTTTAATTTGGTAACATGGAGAATACAATACTGAAGTATTGATTGATCAAAAAAATACATTTTGTCCAAAAGTGGATATGGACTACTATAACACTCAGCCGATGGTATGTTAAGTATGATTCTTTTCAAATGTGAATTAATTTTCCTAATTAAAAGATTTAAATATTTTAGTGAGTTACGAAAAAATATTTTATTTTAAGGAATGTCTATGATAGCGGACTACTATCCTGATAACAAAGAAAGGGGAAGTGCTATGGGAATAGCATTAAGTGGATTAGCTTTGGGTGTTTTGATTGGCCCACCATTTGGAGGATTTATGTATCAATTTTTTGGAAAAGAAATACCTTTCTTGATCTTGGCGCTTTTCGCTTTAGGAAACGGAGGTATATGAAAAATTTAAATTATTCTGTAAAATATAACTATAGTTTTTTAAGATATTAAATATAGATTATGATATGAAGATTCTATTAATTAAAAATTAAAACTCATGTTACTAGAAACTATACCGAAAAAATATTTTAGGCGATATATAATATATGCATATTTTTTAAAAAATATAACCTTGGTCCCAGGTGAAATCATGCAGATAAGATAAATATTTTTAGAACAAAACCTAGCCCATATCATAGTTTCCGTATCAGATCTTATCTCAATATAAATTTTTAAAATAAATGTATATATTTTTTTGCCATTTGGAACTTATATTTGGTTCCGGTGTAGAATTGTAAACTCATTACCATCTAAAATCACTATGGTATTCAAACAATATTTTAAACTACCATAGAGATGATTTTATGACCGAACCAACTTTTACAAACAAAATTTAAAATATAATAAATAAAACGCCATTATTTATAATTTTTTTTTGAATCGACAATATTTCATTTAAAGATTGATGCATATAAATTCATAATTATAAATTAAATTCATTTATAGATTTGTACTTCATAAATTTTATTGATTTCTCAGTCAATCAATAGGGTACATTTATTCTATTTATAGATTAGTACATTTAAATTCATAACTATAAATTGATACATTTATACATTTATAGATTAATACATTCAGAGTCATAATTTTTGCTTAATACATCACAAAACTTTCTCAATTAATCAAATTGGTGGATTTAATTTCATAATTATAAATTGATTTCATGCAATAACAGATAAGTATCAATCAATACAAAAAATACTTAGCAATAGGAAATTATCCCGAACTATTAAAAATAGTCCAGGTAAAAAAATATAATCTTAAATGTAAAGCAACCCATTAAAGAAAACTTAATAGAAAAATAAAAAAAGTAAATGTCATCATTAAATAATAATTTGCTATTTTTTATTAGCTTTAGTAATAATGGAAGAGGAAGGGAAACAAAGGATAATATCTGTAATTCACCATGGATCAATGTGATTATAAAATAATATTTTGCTATTTTTTATAAGCTTTAGTAATAACGGAAGAAGAAGAGAAACAAAGAGTAATACCTGTAATTCACCAAGGATCAATGTGATTATAAAATAATAATTTGCTATTTTTTTATTAGCTTTAATAATGGAAGAAGAAGAGAAATAAGGGTAATATCTGTAATTCACCAAGGATCAATGTGATTATAAAATAATAATTTGCTATTTTTTTATTAGCTTTAATAATTTAAGAAGAAGAGAAATAAGGGTAATATCTGTAATTCACCAAGGATCAGATATATTCCTAGTGACTAAAACTATTGGAATCACATTTATATAATCCAACAGATTTATAATTTAATTATATTTTGTATGGTATTATTAATTTTTAGCAATTATACTATTTATTATTAAATTATATATATTTTATATCAATAAAAATTTTTAAGCTCGCTTAAAATTTTTTATTTTAACAATAGAATCTTAATTAGGAATTATGCACACGTATATAATTATAATAAAAATGTATCTTGCAGAAAATTGTATTCCTTAGAATCATTTGTAAAAATGTGTATTATGCAGTACAGATACATATTTAGACGATGTATCTATGTTTAGATCAATTTTTAGAGTTAATACCTGTATCAAGATTTACTTGAAAAGTATCATTTAATTCCCTAACTATATTGTTGATCTATTGAGGACATAATAATGTATAGGTTGTGGATTTTTTTCAAAACGGATAGAACCGAATCGAAACAGAGTTCACTTTTTTGGCTTATATTTAAATCAACCTTTAACTTCTCATTTTTTTTGTCATATAGTGTCATTTTTCAAACATATTAAAAATCTATAGGTGTGAAAATATTATTTCTTTGTTTTCATAATTTACAAGAACTAGATTATAGGTGTACTTTTTATAAGTATTTTAATTACTTAGTACCCACTCGTTCAGATGAAATATTGGACCCGTTATGACCGAAATTTTACTTTTTTAAAGATCCGCCCAGAAAACCTAATATACTTAACTCACGCTTTTAATATTTTAAGTTGATTTTTTATACATTTATGATTGATGAATTACCATATCATATAAAAAATGTAACAATAATGCATCATCAAAAAAAATTTGATATTTCGATTTTTTAGTTTTAACTCCTAATACATTTATATATAAATGTATGTCCTAACTTGACTACCACATTTTTCATTCTGTTTACCAATAAAACTTATAGCTGTAATAAAAATAGTAGCAATTGAAAGTTCATACTTATTTTTATAAAATAAATAATACACCTCATTTTTATTCGATTGATAATTTTCTTATAATCGTAATTTTTTTTTATGCTGAATTTTTATATAGATTTCTGATTCTGAATTTATATTTAGTTTTCTTTTGAGGTCAATAAGGTCCATGATGATTTAGTGTAAATTCTAAGTTTTAAATATTTTATTTATATTTTATTCATCAATCAAAGTTCCACAAAATATTTGTGTCTTTTATTCATTTAACAAAAAACATGTTCTTTATATATCCATAAAAAAATTAATAAAAAAATCAATCGCAAAATAAAAAATAAAATGTTCTTGATTTAAAATTGAATTTTACTTAAGTTAAAATAACAAAAAATATAAATTGTCAATTTTAGCGAAAATATAAAACTATAAATATTGATTTTTTTAAGTTAAGAAACAAATATAAATTGCAACGATAAAATAAAACGTTAATAGAAACTAAAAATAAAATCTCGCCGAAAGATATAAAATAAAATAAAATTTTAAATTGATCTAACAATATCGGACCTGGGAAAAACGTAGCCGAACCCGGGAGTGGATTACCCGCATTCACAGCTAGCTCTAATTAACCGCGAATGTGAATGGAGGGTAGACCTAGTTGAACCCCGCCTGAGCCCAAACCAATTTTTTAAAAATTTTAAATCTGGACCTATAACAAACCATCTTTTTAAAAAATATTCCAACCCTGGACCCATCGGTAAAATCTGTATGGAGTCCAGACCTCTGATAAAACTAATAAAAAAATAAAAGATAAAATGAATTGATATTAAAAAAAATTTTCTTATTACAATGTTATAATGAGCAAAAGAATTGTTGATATAAGCGTTACCAAATTTTGGTTTCTACTTACTAGTTAAAATAAAAATAAATTCTAAAATTTTTTTAATCTGATTTTTTTGAAGAAGCACTCGATTTAAACATATTTATTTCCCCAGTTTGATTTGAACATTTCCCGTCCATTTACAACCCAATTTTTCTAAATTTTACTACAACTTAATGCACAATTGCTAACTGAGCTTTATATAAATTCGTCCTGCTTAAATGCTGTTTAAAATTTGAGCTAAAATCTAATAGAAACCCATCTCTTTCTAACACAAATTTAGAGTGCTATAAGTTTAATCATGGTATTAAGATAATAATGTGAGGTCAGTCAACATATATTAATTTGATATCAAGGCCCAAATTTTATTAAAATGTAATGAACCCCCTTTTTAATGTATAATATTAAGGTTTGATCGGTCAAATTTAGTCAATTGACCGGAGGAGTATTCGACTTATCTGAAAAATCTGAAGATAAAATATATGTTTGAAAAAGAAAAGTGATCACAATGCTGCTTATTTATTGGGTCGCCAATATCAAGGGAACATATTACTATTTATTTATGTGATATAATACAGGAATTAGGCGTTTTACAAGGTGGTGATGATCAAAATATTTTATTTAATAATAAATTTCAGAGGTAAAAGCGACATGCATTATGTGGAAAGCAATAACTTCTATAAGAAACAATAAGATTCCGGCCTCAGTTAATGGAATGAGCTTTTCGCACAATGCCCATTAATATAAGTGGCATTTTAATTGCAATGCCTAATTCTACTTCTTTTTCAGAAAGAAATTGGTCGATTTGGGTTAATATTTTTACTAAAACAAAAATCAATTTTAGATATCGGCAACAGAAAAATTGATTAAGAAATGTTGAAGAAAATGATAATATTAAATATGAAAAGACTCACGGAGAGCGAAACATTGATATTGTATGACAATTAATTTAAGAAATATTATAAAATTTATTATATTTTATTAAAAATTTTTAAGTATATTATTTATGTGTGGTTAAAAGGAGCATAGGTTATCTTAAATATTCAAGTTTGCAATATTGCTACCTTTATTAAAAGCTGCCTAAGGTGGTGTGGGAAATAGATTTAAAAAAAATATTTTTCTATGATTTGAATAATAAGGCTTTTTTGACATCAATATCTCATCCATATTTTAAGAACTTATGGATTGAGTCAGATGATAAAAAAACTTTCAAAATATATTAATAAAATAAGTTAAATATAGTACCAGAGTGTATAATCAAGCCCAAACTATAACACCGATAGATTTATCATCTAATAAAGAAAATGATGATTTTTTTTTGGTGAAACAAATGTTGCTGAGTTCAATAACAAATAACATTGAACTGGTGGTTTTAAATTATATTAAAGAAAGTCTAAATACATTATAAATGCTTAATTATTATCCTTTTATTAAGGAAATTTTTTATAAATATAATACTTCAATACCTTCATCAGCTTCAATTGAAAGGAAATTCATGGCACAATGTTATGTAGGCCAAAACGGCTAAGGTCTAATAACAAATTATTTGAAAAATTTGATTATCTTATAAAAAAATATTAGTCTTCCTTCCCTATCTATGCTAAGAATGGGCTATTTCTAATATTAAAATGCCTGATTATTATAATTAACTCATCATTAAATATTTTATTAATTATTTAAATATTCATTATCATTATATGTGTATGTTAAGTTCTTCACAAGTAAATAATAAAAACTGTATTTTATAAACTATTCTAATTAAATTGATAATGATAATTTAAATCTTGTATATAAGATATTCTAATTAATATTATGAAAAAGATACTAGTATCTGTATCTAAAATTTATTTTTTCACAATGAATCTGTATCTGTCTAGATTCTTTTTTCGGAGGACCTGCTCAACTCTCATTGTATATAAGAAAAGTATAGTATTGTCTTAAAAAAAGGATTTATTTGATTTTGACCGATATTAGAATAGTATTTGGCCGGTCAAATAAGCAACCCTGCATAATATATTAAGGAGTTGATATTTAGTCCAAATCATGCCCAAGCTTTATATCAACTCTATGCATTACTCTATCAGAAATACTAGGTAATTTTCTGAAGTTAATAGTGATTTACAAATCAAGGTCTCAGCTTCTAAGCCACATGCGCTTCTTGAAAAAAAATTTTTTTTTGTATATAATGACAATTTACGATGATATCTAACATTTTTTATAAGATTATAGAAATATTAGATAACGTCACAATGCCAGACATCATTACCTAAAATTATTAGATAGTATTTAACAGTGACGCCTCGATTTTTCAAGGGAGGAAGGAGTTATAAACAAAATTTTGAAGGATTACGCTCTCTAAACTCATTTTTTGTAAACCCTTAGTTGCTTATACTTTCTGTATTATATTAAATATAAATATAATTAAAAATTTCGCATAAAAAAGTTTTATAGAGAACTACAATCGTAGATTTTTTTTATTTCTATAATACCTTAGTATAAATAATATACCTTTATTAAACTACATATCCATTTTAACTATAACATATGGTTATAACATATAATAATAATAACATTGCGTTTCTATAAGAATATACAATAAAATTAATTTAAAATGAATATATTTTATTTAAAGAGATTATAATATGATAAATTTGATAGTAAATAAAACGATATTTAAAATAAAATGCAATTTAACAATTGCAACCACATATTCCATATTCCTAGCTTCCTAGAGGGAATCACCTTTTACCTCTTTTTTTACTAGTTAAATTATATTATCTTATAAAATAGTTAAAAAACATAATAATGTGAAATATTAATCTATAATAAAAACTGAAATGTCAAATTTTGTGTTATTTTAATTAAAATGACCAATATTATTGCTAAAAATTTTATAAAGAAAAAATAGAAAGAAACATGACTTTTAAGATAAACCAGACCGAAACTAGGCAAAAGGGCAAAGACCAGACAAAAGGCCGAAAGCCTATTAATGAGTGGTCTGGAGGTGGAGGCAAATCCCCAGGCTTTATAAGTATGGACCCCCTCCTAAGGAAAATTCATAACTAAGCCCCTTGTTCCTTATCATAAATTGTAATAAATAAAAAAATTAAGTGATTTTTTATTTTTTTTAAAAAATTAAATTAAAGACGGATACTTTTAAAAATTATAAACAAAAAAATATAGATTAGAAATATCTAAATTTTCGTAATTATATTAATTCATTTTTTTTAAATAAATTTTATGGGGGGGGGGGGGGGGGGGGGTTAGAGTAAGGGGGAGGCTCTTCTTCTTGTCTACGCCCCTGATATTTAATTAGTGTCCATATCTTGTGAAACATTATTTCCTAAATAAACATTTGAAGAATAGAGATCAACTTTTACTTTTTTAATATTTTTTACCAGTTATTAATCATCCTTTATAAGATTGATTGTTTTTTTTTAAAAATTTGTTTCTAGGCTAACTTTATTTTATATCTAAGAAGAATATGTAGAAAATATTTAAATATTTATAATTTCATAAATATTATGCGATTAAAAATTTTTTTTTAAATTTGAAGTCTTACAGTTATTCGTTTTACAACCAAGGATCACGAAATCGGACATACAAGGGGTTTCAATTATAGATCTAATAAAGGATCCACTCATTTTAATAGCCGCAGGTAATATGAATTAATGATCTACAAATAGCAAAATTCTCAGTGGAAATTAGTTTCCAGTCCGGTTTCAATTTTTTTACTAAGATTCTCCGGCTAGGCCCTGTTTTTTAAAATCTATTTATAATATTGGAGAGTGGTTAAATTAAAAAATATATTAGCAAATATATATATGGAAAAAAAAATTTCCCCGGCCTGGCCTAAATAAAAAAAATTCAGACGTTATTAGTGAGCTCTAGGTGAAAGCTGCTCTTACATTTTGTAGCAGGAGAGACTGGGGCTAGTCAAACCGATTTTTGCAAAGTCAGCAAATCCTCTGTTTTTTTTAGATATTATAAGGAACAATATATGAATCGTTATTTATAACTATACTTTATAAAGGTGCCTTATAAATATTTTTAAGAATATAATTGAAAAAAAGGTATAATAACTAACAAAAATCCTCTCTACCCTTCCAAAACTTAACTGATAATTTATAACTGTTCCTTTAGGAGCTAGAATATATTCTTTATTAGTAAAGCACAAATCATATATTTTATAAATAAAAAATAAAATGTTAAAAATCTCATCATTTTTTTACAATTATTTTCCAACACAATAAAAAAATATATCACGTGTGCTATTATGATAATTATAATCCAATCAACCTTATTTATTTTGGTTGATTGGCATTATACAAAAATTAATATAATAAAACTACGACAATAATCAAATTTTTGACAAATTTTGCCTAACAAGCTTCAGTAGTGGGGTTAGGCAAACCACTGTAACGGGTTTCCTTTCCTAGATCATTCGTTTTAGACTTAATGAAATGAAATGCAATTTTATTTATTAATAATGATACGTATAGAATAATTTTATTATTCAAAATATCATAATACTTTTAAATTGAAGCTAATTATTATCAAAATTGAAACTTAATTTTGGTTAATTTAATAAACATTTTGGACATGAAAAAAAGGAGAGATTATAATTTCTTGGCATAATCTTAAATACCAATTATACACAGCCATGAAATTTCTTTCCAAGATTTTGAAATATTTTTTTTCACATTAACTGCCATATGGTAGGATAATATTTTTATCTAAAAACAATATATAAAATGAAAGATAAATTTATACCTCTTTAATTGAAAGACCATAAATTATTTTACTAGTTTGGGTGAGATAGTTAGCTATGTTCCTTCTTCTTCAACTGTGAATGCTCTCTTTTAATTATTATGGCCTACACTAATAAATGACCCAGTCTCTTTATATCTCTTATATTACCTCATGAAATTTGATATAAGAATACCAAAAATGCCAAATAAAACCTTAGATTATATTAATTATCTTAATTATTCAAAAATAATATTTTAATTTTTTAACATTGCCATTTCGATTTTTTATTACATAATCTTTATTATTTAATATTGTTAAAATTGATTATATTATATAAACTACTACATTAATCTTTATAATTTAATATTGCCAAAATTTAATTTAATTGTATAAAAATTACATAAAAAAGATAGTGTATAGAAAATTACCCGTTAGTTAGTTAGCGACGTTTACCATATCGAATAATGTAATAATTACAAAAAAAATTATTCAAATGGATTGGCGTTTATGGTTTGGCAAGCCCCGCTAGCTTTATATTGACTAATCATGATTGGAATAATATCTAGAAAAAATAAATGCTCATAAAACTTTCTCAAATAATGAGAGGGTAAAACTTTGCTATAAAATTTTATATATAAATGATTATATAACTTAATAAAAATTAAAATTCTGTCATGTAAAAATCTGTTGAATTTGACATTAAAATTTTATTTTAAATAAAATTTTTAATTATTAATTATTTCAGATTTTTTGTCTATAGATACATACTAATAAAAGCTATATTAGGATAAAATTAAAACCTACTAGTCTATTTAATTTTATAACGAGATTAAGTGGTTTGCCAAGACCCGGGTTACCTAACCTCAGTCTCCCCTACTATAAGGAATTGTGTTAATCAATTTTTGAAACTCTTTCAAATCCGCATTCATTACTTTCATCATTCTCAATATATTCCCTCATCTCATTTATTACAAAATCTATATGGAGTTTCAATTGGAAACAAAGTAATTTAATTTGCTCTTCCATATAAAGAATGTGAAGGTCAGCTGGCCAGTTATCTTTTTATAAATATTTATTCGATAAGATAGCTAAAATGATATAACTGTAAAATTTTATATAGAATTTTTAATTAACTAGATTGTAACTAACATCCATTATCCTAATTTGCATATTGTCTTTTAAGGCAGTATAAGGAATTAATTTTCGTTGATACCAGAGTGCATTCAATTTTTTTTCAATATTACTAATCTAAATTTATTTATTTTTCTAACTTCTTTAGATATTTTTATATTCTCTTTTAATAATATTATATAAACATTCATTTATACATTCTAAAAGATTAGAACCTACCAGGCATATCCTTAAACGATTTTAGAACACAAATACTTATTTTATTAATTTTTCAGCTTTCGGTAAAATTATTGTTCTTGTCTGAAGCCTCTAAGACAGATTATATAAATCATATACAACATCATACATCAAGGCGAGATCTGATAAGAATTCATCACTTTCTAATCGGGTGGACAGCCGGTTAAATGTTTTACTGTTGCTAGAATTTGCTAAATTTTTGCGTTTACAGGGCCTCATTGTTATTCCAAACTTTCTTAACTGTGTAAAAACTGCTAGACACCACCCATCGTACATCAAGTACCCATCCAATCTTCGCAACTGAAAGTAGAATTCAAACACTATTTGATCCAACGCTCCTTGATTTTTGTTAGATTGGCTATTTAATCTATATATTGTGTCAATAAAGTTTTTAAAGTGATTAACGCTTGTAACACTTTTTATTGCATTGGACATAGTTAATTCTACGCGTTTATTTAACAATGTCAGATGATCATTGGATATAGTGCGCAAAGGCGCGTTGAAACGCCAAAATCTTCCCATACTTGACAAGCGCAATCGTTTATAATATAAATTCTGTTTTTTGCAAAAAATTTATGAAAACAGGTGATTTGAGATGATCTAGTCTAGTATAAAATATCCCTTACATATTTGATTCAGTTTTAATCAGATCTAGAAATATAAAAATAGTTTCATAAAAAGAGGACTCCAACACCGATTTTACATAAATAACCAAGATATTTATTTGACATAGATTTATCTGCCAGGATAGCGATTTTAAAGGAAATTTATATAACTGTTTACAATATTCATCTGCATTTCTTTGGAAATGCCTTCAATTATTAACAAAGCAGAATACTTAGAATGCAAAAGATGCCTCATATCTAAACCATTGTGCTTTTGTAAATCTATTTTCAAAATCTACAAAAGACCGATTACCTTTGCAAGATAATATGAAATTTTAAATATTATCTTGGTTAATTTATTAATGTGATTAACCATTTATATTACAAAATATTTTTGCATTTTTAATGCAATCTCAACCAATATTTTTCTTTGGTTGGTTTTATAATCCTTTTTGGCAGCTTTGTATTCATCTAAATTGGGAGATTTCTACTTTCTTAAAGCAAACGTCGTAGTTTATGTGTTCTGCCTTGTAAATGGCTGTTATCAATTGTATAATTCCACCATTCACTTGATATGTGCAGTCTTTGTGGGGAGAGTTGTTGGTCAAAAGGAATAAAATAAAATTTTCTATTTCTATTTGATATTTTATTTTAAAAACCAGTTAAAATAGGGAGGGGTTAGATTTTTAATTAAAAATGTAGTTTATAAAATATTTCTTGTTTAATTCATGATAAAAAATATCAATAATTTGCTCAAATATCATTAAAAAAAATTAATTTTTTGGAAGGTGCTTACCATGCCCTCTACTTTGTAAATTTCTGGTAGGGGAAGACTAAATTTTTTTAGATGCCTCCCTCCCTACCACATCCCAGCAAATATCTAATATAGATAATGTATATATATTTGATCAAAGAGAATTTTCTTTTAATTATAAGTTAATTTGCCTTACAGCTTCTCTATTTATTAGGTTCCATTACCTTAAGTAATATGGGCATTGCTATGCTAGAACCTTCCATGCCGATATGGATGATGGATACTATGAATTCAGCTAAATGGGAATTAGGTATTATAGTGATAATTTTTCGTTAATATTGGATTGTAAATTATTTATATCCTTTTTATTTAAGGCATAGCCTTCTTGCCAGCCAGCATATCTTACTTAATTGGGACTAGTAGTTTCGGAGCATTGGGCAATAAATTTGGAAGGTAAAAATTTGGAACATTTAGAATTAAAAAAATATATTGTTGATTTTCTTTTATTATTTTGCACTATTTATTTTATATTTTAGGTGGTTTTGTGCTATGGCAGGAATGATTCTTATAGGGATATGTCTCACGTTGGTATATTTTTGTATTATATGATTATACATTTATGCGCCTTAAATCTTTTTAATATTTTAATCTAGATCCCCAGGGCTCGCGATTTGAAAGGATTGATATTACCGAACGCAGGATTAGGCTTTTCAATAGGTTCTCAAAATCTTATGTTTCTGCTTTTATAAAATCAGTTCAAGTAACCCCCCCCCCTCCAAAAAAATTTAATTAAAATATTTTTTTTATTTTATAAGATTAAAATAATTTAACAAAATTGGCATTAAGGCCTAATAATGACTTTTTTTCATAGGAAAGTTACAACTTTATTACTAAAACTTTACCTAGCGTTCCATGTAGCTCAATGCGTAATGTTATTTTTTATTTAAAACTAAATAAATGAAAAATTTCAGGCATGGTAGATTCTTCAATGATGCCAACTATGGGAAATTTAGTTGATGTAAGGCATGTAGCTGTTTATGGAAATATATATGCTATAGCAGATGTCGCGTTTTGTTTAGGATACTCGTTAGGTAAAAAAAAAGACTAACTTATTGAGCGAAATCAAATTTAAGAAATCATGGAAAAAAAACTTAATAAAATTTATTAATAAAACAATTTTATTCAGAATATTTTATAGTTGGAGCTAAAATTTAAAATTGGAATTATTCTATTAGGTTTATTAAACTTTAGATATGATATATAAAGTGGTATTAAATATCTAAACATATATTAATAAACCAGACCTATTTTACAATTATAGAGATCATTACCTCTAGATATTCATAATTATGACATCATAAATACCAATATACTTGTATAACCAATAATTTGATACCAGAACAGGAAGCCTTATAGTCGTGATAAATTAAGCAACATAAACCAGTAATTCATCATAAAATTTATAGGAATTGGAACGAGATCCCCTTTTAAAATTTGCAGAAACCTATACCGAAATAGGTTTCTAACAAAAGTATAAATAATTTACATGTAAATTGATGAAAATGTTCGTTTTTAAATAATTGGAACCCGAACAATCAGAATTGGAATCAAAGCACCGGAACCATAGCTACGTCGTGGACAATTCTTCTTTTTCGTTTAGCTTTATCCTAGTTTGTCCGGATAGTCCATTTCCCCAAAATCTCCTTTCTCCATTTCCTCCAGGCACCGCGGTTAAACCTAACATTTTCGCCCAGCTTATCTTTAATCATACTCTGAGTTTTGTTTCATTTACTACCAATAGTATCTATTTATCTATTCGCGTATCCAAATAATCTCATTTTATTTCTTCTCACGACATCATCACTTGCATTTTCTCCAATCTTTTCTCTCAGTTCTTTGTTTGTTTTTCTTTTTCGTAAATACCCCACAAATTTATCTATCGACACCGTTCTTTTTAACTTGGCTGAGTGAGTCGCATTGATTGCGCATATCTCGCTGTAGATACATCATACAATTTCACACATCTTGCATACACTTTTCTCTTCAAAGCAAGAACACATTTTAATTTTTAAAAATTGAAGACATCTCTATTAATTTTTTATAATCGATCGTATCTTGCCACAACTGCTTAATGTCTTCATTTGCCTAAGTTTATCCTAGGTAGCAAAACTTTTTAAAAATTTTTTCCGATATAAAACCAATCTTTTTGCAATCATCTTGCACCTCCTCGTACACTCATTACAAGCAAAAGTCACACTTGCCTTCTTCAAACTTCACTTTACATTACATGCCCATTTTAAATCAAATTGCGACAATTATTAACTAGCTATACCTTTTTCATATACACTATATTGCTAATTGCCTGTTTCTTCTATCTGCCCTTGACTCCAAACATCATCGTCTTTTCTATATTCATTTTAAAACTTATCGCTTCTTTAGCCAACCTCCATTCATGTAATCCTCCAATTCCCTTCTAATCTTCGCTATCACTACTAGACATCACATTTCACATGGGAGTTCTTTACCTCCCTCTAGTTATTACATTCATTATTATAATAATAATAAATAACTCAAAACGGAACCCTGATGTAGTATTACCTTTATCCAAAACCTATCACTATCCGTTTGTGTCTCCTCATAAATCATAATCACGGTGGTTATTAGCTATTCATTCACGCCTGATTTCCTCATGTCCACTTTGTGACCTCTCGTTGCACTTCGTGTAATGCCTTTTCCAGATCTATAATTATATAGTAAAGCTACTTTCCTTTCTCTTGTTATCATTCATGCACTTGTTCCACTATAGAAATAGCGTCTCTCAGTAGTTTCCCTAGGGGGGAGGGCAAAGGGGCTCCAGCTCCAATATATTTTTTTTAGAAATTTTAAATTATAAATCCTAAATATAAAAATAAAAGGAAAATTTAATTTAATATTGTAATTTATCAGCAGAATATTACCATTTTTCAAATAACTAAGCGTCATCAACAAATTTATCGCTTAAATTCGTGATTCCTGATAAAAAAGAAACATTTCACCCTCTAGTTGTAGATACAAGAGAGCAGCGTCTACATGAGCGGGAGGGGTAGGAACAGTTTGTATCCAAATTATTTGAGGGGGGTAGGGGATAGGATTTAAGGGGGGTAGACGGTATATAGGATAATATAATGGGGGGTTATCTATAAAATTTTTAGATAAAATAGAGCAAAATGTATTGCTCTAAAAATTTATACTTTTATTATAGACCTATAGAATACAATAAATATTGCTAAACATTAACCAAATCTATATATGGCACACAATCATAGACATTATTTTCCAAATAAAACTATTTCTGGATCAATTTGTGCTATCCTTTACGTAATTTAAATGCGTTAAAAATTCTAACAGTAAACTCATATTCGTGTCATACAATATTGTTGACCAGATTTAATGAAAAACATTTCCATATTTTAATTTATTTGAGAATAAAATTATATGACTTGCAAAAAATTGTTTAAATAGCATATTTATATATTCTTATCAATTTTTACAAGTTAGATCATTTTATTTACAAACGAATTAAAAAATATGGAGATGTTATAAATTAAATCGGCACAACACATAATAATGTATTCATTGTAAATAAGGGAATTTTTAATTGATTTCATGTTATAAAAAATAATTTTTTTTTATAGTTGGCAGTAGAACAGTAATAATTTAAGTTCGTTTTTAAGTTATGAAGGGAGTACAAATATCATTAAGAAGGTGTTTTCAATAATGTGGGAATATCGTCGCCGAAGGCAGCAAGAATTTTTTAAGGGGTTAGGCATAGATTTTTGATGGGTGTGTGTATCCAGTGAATATCCTGTCATGTAGACGCTGCAAGAGAGTTAGGATGGGCTTTTCTCATTTTTCCAAACTGGATATTAAAAAGGTTTGTGGGAAAATTCATGGAGCCCTTTACACGTTTGTGGTAAAGCCACACATACTTATATGTACAATAATTCAAAAACTGTGTTTAAAGCTCTATAGGCTGAGATAAAAAGAGTCGACAAAATAAAAGCCTATACCCGAGAATAGCACATATATTTAAATATGCTGGGGTAGGGCAAGGGCTGATTAGCATAAATTAGAATTCATTCATTGACTTAGTGTTAGTGTGTGCTAAAGTTAATGTGAAATAAAAGTGCTGTAATAATATTTAAGGAAAATCATTTAAGAATAAAATATATAAAAAATCCATGAATAGGATCAATTGAAATGGATTTACATTAAACCCATCTAAAAAATTTCAGATGAGATAGTAAATATTAGTGTTACGAGTATTTTAACTATTGTTAGAGTAAAATATGAATGTTACAGGTACTAAACCATTGTCCATTCTTCTATTAAATAATAAGTAATTAATGATGAGATTTTGAAAGGGTAAAAAAAATTTAATTACTGTAGTTTAATAATTATTATAAAATTAGGTAGTTCATAGGATAGTTTTCCCTTAGTGATGCAGAAATTTATTTATTTACATATCATATTTAAAATAATATTTTAGTAGATATACATTTTAAGATATATATAAAATGCAGGAAACAGTTATTCTGCAATAGCTACCACAGAAGGAATGTAAATAAGCTAATAGAAATTATATGATGAAAATGCATCATGAAAATAAATACTTTAAAGTCATACTAAGTTAGTATGCTAGTTTTTCTAGTGTAAGTAATGCAAAAATTAAGTATTCATTCATTTATTACCATGCACGAAGTGTAATTTCATCACCCACCAGGAGTTGTAGCATGCACCTTGTATATTCACTAATATATAGATGCTATACATGATATATACCCGTTTTATTATAGTATACAACTATAACAATATTTATAATAATGAACCTGACGCTTGGTTAGATTATTTAAGAGAAGAAAAATATGTCTTATGTCCGGTAAATATATCCTTGGAAGATAATGTTATGCCTATATAGCGTGTCCTGTTCCAGAGGCATCTAAGTTCCCTATAATTGTAAAGTTGATCCCTGAAAACCATTATCCTAAGAAGCTTATTATCATTTTATTTGTTTTTTACGTTTTCCTTTTTTCTATTTCTTATGTTTATTATTTCCTTCATTATTTTTTGTCATTCATTGAAGTCAATAACGGGTGTCCCCATAAATCCTTGTCTGTACTATGCAAACGATACTCGGATTTCTCATTATATTTATAACATTATCATTATTATTATTATGAACGGGAATCGTTATCATTATTATTATTCACACTAATGTTGTTAAACGGATTTTGAGCCGATTTTTAAAAACGGCTAACTCATTATTTTAGCCAAAGAAATATTGCTCAAATCTCCAGATTTTGCTAAAAGAAGACCTTTGTGCCATCTATGAGAAAAAATCTTCAGGTTGAGTAATATTTTTCTAGATAAAATATTGAGTAAGTCGTTTTTAAAAATCTGCTCAAATCTAGCCGTTTAACAATACTAATTCATGCTTCCAAGATTATCATTGTCGTTATCAATATCGTTCGTCCAGTAGAGAAAAGAAAAAGAAAAGGGTTATCAAAAAGAAAAAAAAAGAGAAAAATTACCATTAACCTTATCATATTTCATTCAATCCATAGTTTCCAAAATAACCCGTGCCGAAAGCATAAATTGTCATTCAACTGAGAAGAGGAGAAAGAAAAAGCAGGTGAGAGAGCAGTCTCATTCCTCCTGATTATTCCTGCTCTAATTCAGCCCGCGTTTAAGCATGTATTTTAGGTGTTTCTTTAGATGTTTTTGTTTTTGCTGAGTGCCAAAAAATCTGTAAACGAAAGATTGATCACGTCCATGTCCTTCAGACATTTTGTCAGCCAATAACATTTGGGAGTTCTCTGCCTCCCATAATCTGGGGTCCATTTCATGGATGAAAATATCATATTATCTTGAGAATGTCTTAAGCAATGACCAAGTAATTCTAATCTCCTCAAAGGAATGAGTCGATTGATTGGTAGGATGTCGTACCTATTCCAGAGAGTTGAGTTTGAAGTGTTTTATGGGTGGTATGTTTTAGTAATTCTTCTTAGACATTTGTTTATAAAGGTCTGGGATGTGTTGATATTGCTTGTAGTGTCCTGCCATGTCTCTAATCCGTATGTTAAGATGGGTAGAATTATGGATTTGAAGAGTCATATCTTTGGGTTAGTGGAAGTATATTTAACTAAAATCAAAGTAATTCACTTCGTACTAATATACAATATCCAAAGTGTGATAAATTAAAGCTTAATTGGTTTATGGCTAAGTTCATGTTAGATTAGTGGTGAGATGTGTTTTGTTTAAAATAGAGATATCAGATGCATTATTAAAGATTTACTATATCATATCCTTTGTCAGATTTATCCTAAATGAATAAAATTTAATATATAACATTATTTAGCTTCACTATGTTCCTTCACAATACATTCATACAAAATTATTGTAATTTGATCTGTTACTTCAACCATTTAACAATAATAAACAACAAAGGCATTTAAATTGTAGTAAATTTTTTAATTTATACTTATTTAGATTAAAATAATGAAAGAAAGAAGTAGAATTTGATATTGAGAATGTGAAAATAGTAGAAGTAGAAAGATGAGTATTGTTCACCTAAATCACACAATTTCAAATAGTTTAATTATTAACTTTTATCATCAATTGCAAAATATTCTCTTAAGTAATACTCCCTATTTTTCCAATAATAATATCTCAAAATATCATAAGGATTTTGTTATTTGTTTTATATCATAAGTTCATTTTTATCATTCAATAATCTTAGTCCATAATATTCAATTTTTATTTGCTTCTTACCATAAGCTTATTAATTAGTTTATTGTTTCACAATATTTAATTTACACATACAAGTAGCGTAGCGAGAAGTTTATAATGGGGGCGAAATAAAATTACTGCAAGGCTTAGGCTGAATCTTAAATATTGAAATTTAAATTATCAAAAATCAAGGTCTTAATACATTATTAAGGTTTCTCTTATTCGATTCAAGATATTTTTATATCTTATGATTCTATGATCAACATAGATGTTATTTTTTCTTTTCAGTTTGTTTAAATTTAAATCATTAAACAAGATAGAACGAAGATTTTAGAAACACAACAATTTAAAAAATTAAATAAATGAAATATCTAAAATAAGTTTTACTATTATTATTATCATAAAAAATCCTATCATCATAAAAAATCCTATCATCATAAAAAATTTAAAATATGAGACATGATGTGGTTGTGACTTTGATACTTTTATATTTATAGCGGTATAAAAAGACAGTCAAATATTGTGATATATCTGAACATTTTTTGAAATAGGAATAAGTTAATAATTGTTTCTTAATAATGAAATTGATAAAGTCGATATTTTAAAAAAGGAATATGACAAACTAGATAGGTTTTCGCAAGATAATTTAAAATTTATTTAAAAAAATAAAAATAATCAAATACTGTAGATCAAAATTATTATTTATAAATTAAAAAAATAAAAATAGTTGTTTTTTTAAATTTTAATTATTTAAGTAAAATAAATTTAATATATTTTTTTCATTCTCATTTTTCCATAAAGGGGGGGGGGGGGTTGAACACCCTAACGTCATGTCTACGCCACTGCACACATAACATATTCTCTATAAATGTCAAAATCATTGTTGTACCTATCACATTATATATTGCAGATCAATAAATTAATAAGCATCATATAATAATTCCAATTTGTTCATCCATTCAAAATAATACCTGTATTTTAAAATTTATATCATCAACCATATGATTAATATTATAAAATTCAATCAATTACCCCAAAATAGGCATACTCATAAAATGCAAATCATCAAATTTTGAACAATTTCATTAATCAAATAATTCAAGTTCATTTTAAGCTTTAATATTATTTTCTCAAAATTATACCTTTAAAAATTTCATAAATCATCACCATTATAATAAATTTATTCCAATTTCATAATTATTAACAACATATATATTCATTATGCATAAAATTCACTTGTTCCAGTATACTTGTGTTGTCATTAAAATTTTCATTTATAATTAACTGATTCACTTTAAAATTGTGCAATTCGTTGCTAATATCAAAATATTTGTTTCATATTTCAAAATTAATTTTTATATTTCAACATTAACATTGTTTTATCAATCATTCTCATGTTTATTATTTTAGTTGTAGGTACCATTTATTAGTTAATTAGATCATCATTCCTTTAAGATCATACATTTATCCAAACCATTCCATAATATTTATCAGAACAATATATTTTTATTCAAATGTTTTTCCATTATTTCATTCTTCGCGATTATAATAATTTCCACATTTATTAATATCCATGATTAACATCATCATTAGCATTCAAATATAAATATATAAAACAGAACCATTCATGTAATAAGTAAAACATCACTATTACAATTCAACGTGTGAACAATTCTCGAAACAATTCCATAATCCTATTCGTTCTTCTCGGGTCGTCAGTGTTCGCTAGGTAGAAATGTAATCTCCAATTACTACACTCACAATATAATCAACCTATTTTTTAAAATTAACGCTATTATAAACAATATTTTCAAAATAAATATAAAGTAAAGGTTAATAAATTTTTAGGACGATGACTATATAGAATTTTTGAAAAAATAAGTTTTGTTAAAAAGGGTTTAAGCCCAAAATAGCTTTAAAATACAGATGTTATCGGTCCAACGGCCTTCAAACGAGAGTCTACGGCTATCCAAAAAAATTTATGACAAAAAAGCCACTTTAAGGCCCCCATTACGAATATTCTGGATTATACTAAATTTGATGAATGCGTATAAACAATCAGTCAACAAATAAAAAAGTTTCAGCAAAATATCAAATATAAAATTTGCCTGATCAAAAAAATATAAGTGAGCAAGAACAAGAAAGGTTGACTTTTCTTAGACAATTCGTCTTTATTCATTTTTCCTTTTTTTAAAGTTGTTTATATTTTTTAAAGTTGTTTGGTTTTTAAAAAAATTTTTATTTAAAAAAAGGTCCTTCCATGAGTGGTTCCCTCGTTAAAGCGATTCATTTTTCAGGGTATATATTCAATTTTTAATATAATATACAACTCTTAACATAATTTTTTTTTCTCTTTAGCATCACCTTTTCTGGTGGTAAGCTCCTTTAATATCTTATAAAAATAAAAAATATATACATTTAACCCTAATTAATGTTCTTTAACCTGTTTTTGCATAAGTTAATTAATTTTAAATTTTTAAAATTTTTATTAATATATAAATGAGAAAAGCCCTACTGACTAGACTTCCTTCCGTATTTCAAGAAGATCAGATCTAATTATAAAATATTCCACAGGATTAAAATTTATAATTATTTCTGAAGAAAGAGAGGATTTAGAGAAATTAAATCTTTGTATTCTAGTCTTACTTATGGTTTAGAGTGTTTTTGTCAATATAAACTCTTTCTTTAAGTGATTCGAGTTCCTGTTTGAGATTACAATTATCAAAATTAATTTATGCTATTTGATAATCGTTATACTCCAATATTATTAAATGCTGTAATGGCTAAAAATGTGTTATATAAATTAGTGATGTGCATTGAGCTTAATTTTTCAAGCCCGGATAAAAAAAAATTTTTAAAAAATTTGTGCGGTCAAAGTCTTTTTATTTGCCCTGAAGAGCCCAACCAAAAATAAAAATAATTTGTCCACCCGGCCCTGCCCAAATTTAAAAATATTCTACAAATAATAAATATTATCGCTTTGTTTCTTGCAAGAATTTTGAAATATATCGATTTATTTCCCAAAATCGAATGATATCATAAAAAATTTAGATCCGACCGTCCTGGCCCAATTTTTTTTAGAAATTATTAAGCTCTTCTCAGCCCTCGAACCAAATTTATTTTTAAAAATAAGCCCTGTACAGCCCGAAATCCGTTTGGACCGGGTTCATAATATGAAATAAAATATATTATAAAAATTAGGCAATATTCTAAGAAATTTTAAAAATATTTTATATCTCATTTGAGCTTTCGATGTTTCAATATTGGAACCTGAATAATAAAATAATTATTTAACACAAAAGAATATTAAAACAACTGCTATATACGTTAATTAAATGTTGTCTAAACAATATAAAAAATTAAATTTGTAAATATTTTCATAAATTATATAGTTAATTAAAACATTTATCCATTCTTGGTCATTATTTTTAACAAAAGGGGTTTAATGTTTCAATATTTGAACCAGGTACAAACGGGTTAAATTTCTTCATAGGAATTAAATAGTATGCTATATATCAAAAGTTTTTTTATAATAATTAGATATAATTTTATTTTTTGATTTCCTCTAAGGCTCTAGAGGGGCCTGTCCGATTCCGATCATAAAATACTCAGATTGGTCAAGTTAGGTATATATTTTTTTGATTAGTTGGCTAGATCAGAAGTTTGCAAAACTTAAATTTTGTTTTTCTAATGCCTTTACAAAAATTGTTTTTATGAAAAGAAAATTATTTTTCTTCCTTGAAAACTCAAATATTTTATCTATCCAATATTTTTATTTTTTTCGAATCGGATTAGGATCTATTTAAAAAATAAAAGTTCAGATCAGACTTCGATTTTTGAAAAAAATTGATTGATCCCTACTCTTTAAAAAATCTCTTGGATAACATCTAAAAAAACACTATTCCATCAGAAAAAGTATATATATGATATAAATACACAATTCTCTTATTCATATATTAATTGATTCATAATTTAATCGTGTTAATACTCTGATCAGTATGCTGTACTCGATAGCAATAATTACGTTCTTGTTCGCGCCGATATTAATTTTCTTGCGTAAATTCGAAACTCAACATAACCAGAGAGAGGTAACATAAATATTATATATTTAATTCCTTCTACCTTAAGTCATGTATAAAAAGTCATTCGATAAAGTATTTTTTGATTGAAGAGCAAATAAAGGAGTAGGAAGGAAAGAAATGGAATATCATAAAACTAGATAATACAAGGTTTCCCATTCAAAAACGGAAAAGTGTCAATCAAAGGAAAAAGTCTGATCAAAAAAGGAAAAGTCCCAAATACTTAGGGAAATGTTGACCAAAAACAGAAAAGGCCCAATAAAAAAAAGGGTAAATCAAAAACGGAAAAGTGTCAATCAAAAAAAGAATAAGTTCAATCAAATAAGGAAACGTTTCAATCAAAATAGGAAAAGTTCTAATTGCTTAGGAAAAGTCAATTAATAATAGAAGTTATTTTTCAAATATTTTAAAAATTATAAAAAAATTTCTTGTCAATTTTTCTTGTCAATTTTTCTTAAATTTTTAATTTTTTTTACTTTTCCTTCTTATTTTATTTTTAACTTTTTACAATCTCTTTTTATATTCTTGTTATGTTTTTTTTCATTCTTTTTTGTCTTTTTAAAATAATTTATTTATTTTCCCTGTCCTTTTTCTTCACTTCTCTATTTTTATATCAATTTAAACAATTCTTTTTCCTTTGTTTCATTCTAGATAACATTTGACTTTATATGATTTTTTTTCCTTGATTTTTTTATTTTTTAAATTTCATTTAATTTTTATTTCTCTTTGGCAAACAATTTTTTTTTTATTAATATTATTAGCTCTAATAATTGAGGCATAATTACAGCATCATGTTTCGAAATAAGCTATAAAACTGTGACAAATATAAAATATTTCCATCTCAAAAATGGAATAAAATATAGTTTACCCAAAGGGGGCTCACGTGCACGAAAGAATCAAAATCAGGAACAGGAAGAATTTATATTAAATTGTATAAATTTGGATTGCACTTTATCTTTAAAAAAGTGATGTAAAATGAATAAAGGATAAAATAACAAAAAAATATGGTATGGATTTAGGTATGTAGTTTTAAAAGGGTATCAATATGTTCAGTTAGGGAAAATACCGAATTAAATATCTAGATTATCAAAGAATACACAAATTGGTTTGTAGATGTAGCTTATATCAAAGAAAAATTTATTTTTATCGATGAGAGCAGTGTTACAATGTCAATGAGACGGTTTTATGGATATTTTTTAAATAAAATAAAAAGCTATTAAAAAGGTCAAGGGATAAAGACAATAAATTATACTATCATTGCTGTTCTGATTGCAGGAATATTCAAATTCGAGGTTCTTGATGGCCCTTCAACGCTATACACTTTAGCCACTTTGTAAATGAAACACCAAACCATTTTGAAGGAAATAATATGATGAATATGATCTTTGTGCTGGATAATATTCCATTTCATTATAACCATGCAATTAGAGAATCGATAGAAAGAAGATGGCATACAATAAAATATTTACTACAATGTAACCCATATCATAATCTCATTCAAAATATTTTCTTCAATGGAAAATTTTGTCAGAAACCAAATCCTAATAACGAAGAGTCATTAATTCGTTTTATAGAGCATGGGGAAATATCTGAGTAGAATACTAAGAATTATTTTAGAAATATGGAGATCTATATTCCAAAAATGTAGAAGAAAGAAAATTATTAATGATTAATATAAATTTTTGCTTCTTACTATATATACATCGTAATTGTAATGAAATAATTTGATATTCAAAAAATATTAATAAAAAAAATTTGCCATTGAGAAATAAAAATTAAATGAAATTTAAAAAATAAAAATATAAGGAGTAAAAAATCATAAAAAAATAATAATTGTTAAAAATGAATAAAAATAGAGAAGTGAAGATAAAAAACAGGGAAAATTCAGAAATTATTTTTAAAAAGACAAAATAAAAATCTAAAATGAGAAGAATCAGAGACCTGCAGAGGTAACATTTGCCGGCCCAAATTTATTAAAAATATATTTTATTTATTTTTTATTTTTATAGCTAATAATGGCGATTAAAATATTTGGTTTTGAAATATAGAACCTGGCCTGATTTTTTTTTTAAATTTTTTAGGCCCGGAACGGGTATATTAAAAAATTGAAATGCGGCCCAGCCCATGTACCCGGGTTGGGCTTAGAGCCGACGCTGCAGGTCGCTGGGAGAAATAAATTGAGAAAATTTAAGAAAAGTAAAGATTATAAATAACTTAAAGAGATCGCAAAAAGTTGGTAAAAAAAATAAAAATTTAAGAAAATTGACAAATATATTGAAAATAATAACGATTTTCATTTATTGAATGGGAATATGGTTTCTTTTTCTTTTGGGGCTTTTCCTTTTGATTGGCACTTTTCTTTTTTTGATTTGATTTTTTCCTTTTTTGATTGGACCTTTTCCTTTTTTATTTCACAATTTTCCTTTTTTAATTCAACTTTTTCTTAAGCCTTCGGGACGCTTCCTTTAGTGATTGACCCTATTTTTTTTGATCGAAGTTTTTCCTTTTATGATTGACACTTTCCATATTTGATTGGGACTTTTTGACTGGGAAACCATGTAAGAAGACGAGACAATCCAAAATGAGCACCTCTGGCATATTCATATATATTTTAATAAGTAAAATAAAAATGGCGAGAAGATTCAGCTATTGATTTGCTTAGGATTGTTCAAAGGTCAAATACACATTTTTCTATAATAATTTTATTTAATGTTTTTACTTTCTAGTCTATGGTAGATGGCGTTGAAACAAACATTAGATTTGACCAACTCACAGAAGAACACAATTTTTAAATATTATATATTTACAAATGCATATTATATTTTTACATTTATTGTGATAAAACTATGTAGTCCGACAACAATATATTTAATTTAAAAAAAATAATATTTACCCATTTATGGCAATATAAAATAATATTTTACAAATACAAAATTAAATTACTATTATATAAAATAAAATTATACAACAAATAAATTAATTTATATATATATTTATTTTAGGTTTTAATTTAATTTTAATGATATTTATTTTAGTTTTAAAGTTTTAGTGTCTTACGATAATAACAAAAATATCTTTGATACGATTATATTTATTTATATTTTTTGTTTTTGCTTAACAAAAATTCAGTTTATATCATCGTTTAAATTACATTTTATTTTCGTTTTGTGTAATTAAAATAATTAATCATTTACTTACTTATTTATTAAAATATATTTAAATTGTTGACAAAAAAAGATATTTAAAGATAGTCATGTGTTATTTATAAAAAAAGTGATATATATGGAATAAGATTTAATAAAGGATGTGTTAACTACATCATTCCCCAACTACACCAATTCTCTCTTTATATAAGGCTGCGTCCAAAATCATAAAAATATAAATAAATAAATTTTGAAGAAAAAAATAACATAAGCTTTTTTTAATGTAAAAATAAAATGGTGTCCAATTTCATTTTTCGGTATTTATAAAAATTTATTTAAAAAAATAATTTTAAAAAATAAATTCGAATAAAAATTTATTCAAAATTTATTTATTTTTAAAATTTTTATATAAAAATAGTAAATACAATTTTTAATGCTGTTAATTTTTATAAATTTACTAACGCAAACGATTATAGCCTTTTATATTACTATATTTTTTAGTGTCAGAATATAATTTTAAGGAAAGCATAAGTGCACAAGAACATCTGATGTAAAAATGATTTAAAATTCAGAGATTCGGTAGAAAATTTGAGAGTAAATTGGAAAAACATATAATCTGAATTATGATCAAGTGAAGAAGAAATTTTTTAAAGGCTAAATTTAATAAATTATATTCTCTCACCCAAAAAAAATCTGGTAAAAAAAATATATTATATTATAATTAAATTTTAATAGGTGCAGGGGCATTTACTCAGGCGCATACGCAGGAATTTGGTCTGGGGGGGGGGGGGGGGAATAATAAATTTTTTTAAGAAATATTATTGTTAATTAAAAATACAAAGCATAAATTTATTAGGACTAATAACTTTTCTAATACACAATTTTAAACTAATGTGAATTAAAAAAATTATATAAAACTATAAAATAAATGTGAATTATAAAATATCAGAGTTGTTTAGGTATCCTGTATCTAGATATAAAAATGTGGTATCTGTATCTGTATCTAGATAGATTTTTGATTAAATAATCTGTATCTAGATATTATTTTAGACGTTGTATCTGTATCTAGATCCATTTAAAAAGTATCTTTTAACAACTCTGTAAAATATAAAGTGATTATAACCCACGATATGAATCACTTAAATGACCCAAAATTGAAATTTGAATTTTTTGAGCTTTTAAACTTTCTTTAAATTAATTTAGGAAAAAAACACAAACTTTCTTTATAATTAAATTATTTTATTTAGAAATAAAAAAATTTTTTAATAAATGATTTTGTTAACTTTCTAACCTCTTTTCAATTCCTTCGCATTAAATAAATTTACTACTATACCCCAATTAATATATACCATATTTCTTGTTTTTATTATTACTATATTTTTTTTTTAAACCAAACTTATCTTTTTTGATCCCAAAAATATTTCCTATTTTTCTATTTGAATTTTCTTTGATTCATGCCTGATCTCAAAAATATTTCCAATTTTTCTATTTGAATTTTCTTTGATTTATGTGTGAACTCATTTATTTAAATCTTAATTTATTTTTACTATATTTTCTTTTAAATCAAACTTAACCTCGAAAAATACATATTAATTCAAATTCAATAATCTTCATAAATATGTTCAGTTCAGATTATTTTTTTTTAAATTATTGACCCACCCCAACACCAAAAAAAAATTGACTTGGCGTATTTATTTACCAAGTTTATTCGCGACCCTTTAACTGATCTCTATGGCGACGCACTTCCGTCATATCTTCTAATCTTATTTTACATAATTTATTACCTCAATTTTCTATAATTATTCCCTTTTCCCATTTTTTACCACTCCCATACATTCTAACCCAGACCATTTGATTAACTAATATTCATATTCCCTACTATTTTCAATTTCTAAAATTTTCGAAATTTCAACATATCTAAAAAAGTATTAGTTTTCCTTCCCAACATTTTTTCTGAAGGAGATTTACCATCCCTTACTACCCTATTATTATAAATGAACAATCCAAATTTCTCCTTTGCCTTCTTTGGTCTTTCTCAACCAACTCTTAACAACTGCCATCAATCTTTCTGCCTGTCCGTTAGAACTAGGGTTATACGGTTTATACGGTGGTGCCAACATTTGCACATTATTTCTTAAACAAAAACTCCCGAACATTTCACACTAACCCCGGACCACCATTTAAAATCACCCATTTCGGAATGCCGAATCTAGACCATAAATTTCTTTAAATGTTTAATAGCAATTCCCCTAGTTAAACCATGTACCTCTTCAAATTCAATCCACTTTGAAAAAGCATCTACACTTAAAATAATTTTTTATATTACACTCAAAAAAATCCATATGCACCCTTTCCCAAGCCCTATTTACTTTCGGCCAAACACTTTTCTTATCCCGACACGGCATATTTGCCCATGCGTTACAGACTTCACAATTTTTTCAATTTCCCCATTTATTCCAAGCCACCAAACATATTCCCTTCCCCACTGTTTCATTCGCGAAATCCCTTGATGTCCCGCGTGTAATATTTTTAGAGCTTTGTCTCTCAGTTGACTCGGTATAACAGCCCTATGCCCTCTCATAATGCAACCGTCTACCACGGTTAACTCAGTTTCAATACATTTTAATTTATTCTCACCGGCTTCCCATGGTTTTTTTCCCGTTATTTGCGATTTCAATAATTTCATTTTCTTATCTTTTAACGTATACTTTCTAATATCCTCCCATGTGGTGGGACCGCCCCTTAAACCACAAGTTAAAGTACAAATTAGGGCCGCTTCACCTTTCTTATCTTGACCTGACAGTTTCTCATCGGTCTCTTCACCAACTGCCAATCTCGATAAAATAACTGGTAAAAGATTTTCTTTTCCTTGCCTATACCTTAATGCCAAATCAAAACTACCCACCAATAATAACCACCGTTGAAGTCTAGGTGAAATCATCAATTCTCTATTGTCCTTCTTAAATAAATAAATCAACGGCTTACGATCCATGTATACTACAAATTTCCTACCAATTAAATATTCCCGACATTTTTTAAGACCGAAAATAACAGCTAATGCTTCTTGTTCGATCACCGAATACCGTGTTTCTACATCCCGAAATACTCTCGAAAAAATAATACAGGTCTCTCAATTCCGTACATTAAATGTAACAATGCTCCACCCACACCTTTATTGATGTGTCAACCGCTAAAATCACTTCCAATTCATTATTAAAACATACCAAAATGGGTTCCTTTCCACTTTCAATTTCAATGCCATAAACGCCAATTCTTGTTCACTTTTCCATTCAAAATGTACATTTTTTTTTAATAATTCATATAATGGTGTAGCCAATTTAGCAAAATCTTCTATAAAACGATGATAATAATTCACAATACCCAAAAATGATTGTACCTCCGTTTTCGTAGTAGGTTTATTCATATTTGCAATACTCATTAAATTTTTATCTAAGGGCCTTATTTCAGTCCTATATATTTTATGTCCCAAATATGTAACTTCAGTTACTCCCATAACACTCTTTTCACGACTCGCTTTTAAACCCTTATCTCTGATTCTTATGAAAACTTCCTCTAATCTCTGATCGTGTTGCTCAACCGTTACTCCCGTCACTAAAACATCATCCATATAATAAAAAATTCCTTCCAAACCCTGAAAAACTGCCGCCATAGTGTGCTGTAAAATTGGGGCTGAAATACTTAACCCAAAGGGTAACCGAAAAAGTAAATAATCCTTTAAACGTTGTTATTGTCAATAATTTCCTTGTACATTCTTTCATAGGTAATTGCAAATATGCACATGAAAAATCTATTTTAGAAAAATATTTTGCTAAAATTTCCTCAATTCTTGGTAACGGGTATTTTACTTCAACTATCCATGGATTAAGAGTAACACGAAAATCCGCACAAATTCTCAACTTTCCATTGGCCTTCCGCACCGGAACTAATAGTGTTGCCCATTCACTATATCCAATAGGACAAATAATTACATCGCGTAACCAAATATTTAATTCACTTTCCATTTCGGCCCTCCATTCGAAAGGTACCCTGCGAACTGCACAATACTGTGGTATATATATCCCTCTTTTTAACGTATATCTACTTCATAATCCACCAAACATCCCAATTTTTCCTCAAAAATTTCTTCATATTTAACCCCTAAATTTATCACCGTATTTCTTAATTTTTCCAAATTTTCATGTGAACCTTTTTCCTTTAACAAATCTTCTTTTTCCCTTTTTTCTTACAAATTTCGCCGGGAATTTTAGTGATACAGGCAATTTTTCCTGCTCTAAATTTGATTCTTTATACATTTTATCACATTTTATATAACTATTTTCTAACTCGGATTCTTCTTCAAATACCTTTCTGTTAATTTCCAACTTAAAATCCTCAACATAAGATTCCTAAACATTATCGATTTTCAAATCCAAAATTTTATCCATTTCATTAATATAATTTTCGTCACAATTAATATTTACAATTTCAGGAAAACCCTGATCAGTTTCCCCACTTACAGGGTTTCCCATCCAAAAAAAAAAGGTTCAATCAAAAAAGGAAAAGGTCCAATCGAAAAAGGAAAAGTGTCAATCGAAAAAGGAAAATTCCCAAAAGAAAAGGAAAAGGGTCAATCAAAAAAGGAAAATTCCCATTCAAAAAATGAAAATCGTAATTCTTTTAAAAAAATATATAAACTTTTCAATTTTTCTTAAATTTATTTATTTTTGTCATTCCTTCTTATTTTATTTCTAACTTTTTGCGATTTCTTTATTTTATTTGTATCTTTTCTCA